AAGAACATTGGATTTCAACTTGCGGTACGTGTACGTCGCTGAGTTCCTCTGGGGTGGGGCCACGGGTTTTTGGTAGTAGATTGAGTTTGAGAGTGATCGTGGTTAAGGGGCACTCAAATCTCGGAGAACTCGAAGTTCAACTTGATTCAACGTACGTACCCTTCACTTTCGACTTGATTCAACGTTAAACTGAGTTTTCATTCCTCTACATCTCCGTCTTTCCCTTGGCTTCGGAACTTCGGCAAGTTTGCTACATTGCTCCGTTGAACTGACCGTGAATTTCCAGCCATTAGAGTTCCTGCACTCGCATCGAGGGCCTTCAACGAGCGGTTGAAGGACCTATATAATCTGTGGTGATTTCTCCTTCGTTCATATTCATTGACAATTCTACGGTACTGACTTACCGTTCAGACCCAATCACTAGTCCAACTCAACGCCCACTGAGCTTGCCCAGCAACGGGAAACACTCACTGCATTATGAGTCCTCTGATTCCTCCACTGATTCCTCCATTATATTTCGTTCACCTACCTTTCAACGTTCTCAGTACTGGGATTAAATATTCCGCACCGCAACATTAATTTCAACTCAACTCAACTTCAACATCTAATTTGAACTCAGAATCGATGCGAACCTATTCCCCCTGAGGTAAGCGTTCCCTTCCGTTATCCTGACCTTCGTTCCGCCTCGGTTCGTTCCACCGGACTTGCTTGTTATCCAGTTTGAAGATCCAAGCCCTGTGCAGAATCAACATCAGATTAAGTTTGAATTGAATTGAACGGAAGGTACGCACCTCTTTTTACTTGAATTCCTGTTGACTTGATTTGGCTCAGTGTATCGAATTCCCCTCTGCGCGCACGGCGTTCCGAGTACTTGAGTCTTCGAGGTCTCCAAACCCTCGACTCCAGGTAAGCTTCCCTTCATTCAACTCAAACTCGGGCGTCATCTGGACTAACAAGAATAGGTAATTGGCAAATACATTACATTCAAGAATTACGTAGGGACGGCGACACGGTATGGACTCGGAGAAGAGAAGGCAAGGGAGGGAGGGGGAAGGGCGAGTGGCAAGAGAGGGGAGGAGGAGCGGCGCGCGCCAAATCCAGCTGAACGCGCAGGCGCACACGGCATCCACGGCCGAATGCGAGCAAGCGCAACGCGCCGACGCGGCGGCGCCACACCCCCGTCCTCCCCAGTATCGCACCAGCCGACAAAAAACGCACAACGGGAGCGACACCTCGCGCGCATCCCAACGTCTACCAGAATGCCGTGTGTTGGGGAAAACGCTGGGATACATGTCCACCCACGTCCGTGCGCGCCGCGGGGTAAGACGCCGTCGACCAAAATGCTAATACACCTCCGTGCGCCCCCTCCTGTGGAAAACACATCCACACCCCAAGGCGAGGGAAATAACGATGCTCACGGACTCGATCGCCTCCCGACAACGACATTCCGCCGCAGCTCTCCGAGTATGCGCGCGCACACCGATGGGCATCATTTACCGACCGCGTCGACCGACCCTCCCCGGCATCCAGCGTGCTCCCAGAATAAAGAAGGGCCGCAGTCCCACGAAGCACCTCCGTGCCGACCACGGTCCCCGCTGACGCGAGGCGCCACTGCGACTACACCCGACGGGGAGGAGTACGCGTTGCCGACGCACGACGCACGACACGCCACCTTGAAGTACAGTCCGTGCGCAGCATCCGCGTCCGGGCCCGAGGGCCGACGCCCGACGTACACGTACACGACGCGTCCCCCGTCATGGCCATGGGCAGCAACAGACTACGTCTCCCTCCGGCTCGGCGATACTCCTACTCGCGAGCACGTCCATCGCGTAGGCCCGGGCTCGATCCCCACGGGTTCATACGCCCACGCACCCCTGTCTTTTCCCCCGCCAACGGAAAAAGATAAAGGAAAGAAAGCAAACGCAAACGCACCATAATCCCGTCCCACTCGTCTTTCCCCTCTCCACCACTCACTCCCCCTTGAGCCGTATTACTTGAGCTTGAGGGGATGGTGGCGGGCGGCGGCGGCGGGGCGAGGAAGGCGTCCCACAGGCGGGGTTTCTTGCGGAGGTCGACGCGGAGGCGGGGGGCCGCGGGGGAGGGAGGGATTAGCAGGAGCGAGGATGAGGGGATGCGAAGGAGAGATATGCGGAGAAGGGGAAGCGGCAGTCAAGTGAAAGGAAATAGAAAACGAGGGTGGAACGAAGGGATGGATGGATGGATGGACTGCAGCATAACGCGCACGCCCCGCTTCAAGCCCCTCCACACAACCACAACGAGCCCGCCCTCCGAACAACGGCGCGACGCAAAAGGCACCCAGCCCAAAGCGCCAGGTAGGAGGCGGACTGACGACGGGGACGACGCGCAGGACGGCACGGATGCTCTCGCGCGCAGCGCAGCGCAATCAGCGGTCAGCGCAGTGCAGCCCTCGAATGCAGCCCCCGGATCCGCCCGCACGTCGCGCGTGCAGCTCGTTCCCGCGCTCACAGCACACGTCCGCACCCCGGGGCACAACCGGCGCGACAGAAACCCCCGCACCAGCGGCGGGCACACGACGGCCAAGCGCGCACACACACACACGCACACGTTCACACGAGCCCTCCCCCTCCGCGCGACACCGACACCGAAGCGGCACGCGCGCAAAATCCTCTCCGCCGCCCGCCCTCGCCCCGTCGCACCGTCCGCACCCGCCACAGGCCCGCACACGCCCTCGCCTCGAGTTCGCACAGGCTCTCGAATTCGCACCCTGGGCCACCGCCGCTTCCGCCCGTCCTGACATTGCACTGTCTCTGGATTCGGTCGGCGCGGGTCGAAATGCGAGCGCAGTGTGAGCCGCACGTGTGGAGGCGCGCTCCTCCCGTCAGAACACTCCACCCCCCGCCCGCACCCCTCGAGTTCGCAGGGAAAACCGCCGGCGCGAACGTCGGGTAGGCTTCCCCGCACCGCACCGCACCACGAACGCGAACGCGAACGACCTCCCACTCGCCCCGTCTGCGGGCGAGTGAGACCGCTCTCCACGCCGCACAAAAGGTCAAATGCGCAGCAAAGAAATCCAAATCCAAATCCAAATCCAAAGAAAAACGAAAAAAACGCCAACTCACCAGGCGCCACCCACGTCCCATTCGCGATCGCCTCCGCCACCATCCTCCTGTGCCTCCTCCTTAACAATAGGGACCGAACGACGATGGCGGCGGAGACGGCGAGGAGGAGGATGAGGGTTGCGAGGAAGGTGTATACTGCGGTGGTGGGAACTTTTGGTTTTGCAGTAGCGGGGGTGGGGTTTGTTTTGCAGTAATTTCAGTAGTTTGAGGGGATTTTTGAGGACGGGGGGTGGGGAGGGTGGCGGAGGGAGGAAGGAAGGAGGGAGTGGCGCAAAAGGGAAAGGGAAAGGGAGGGAGGGAGGGGAGAGCGGTTGTTTTGAAGCGGAGACGGGTTTACGGAAAGAGCGGATACGGATACGGCCGCATGGGATTTTGGAGATGGATGCAATGTAGCATAGCAGATAAAGGGACGTCGCGGCGCGGGAGGGTGTGATGGACGGCGCGGGAGGGTGTGATGAACGGCGGGGGAGGTGTAAGACGCGAGGCGGGTGGGTGCGGGGTGGATGTGTGATCGACAGCCGCGGCCGGGGGGAGGCGGGTGCGAACGGGCGGGAGTGACGGTGTATTGAGTGAGAGCGGCGTCGAGAGAAGGTGAAGGCCCGGCGGCGAGGTGCGTTGAGCGGAGGATGCAAATGCGCAACGTCGGGTAGAGATGCCGCGTGGAGCATGTCGCGGTCGTCCGGGTGTATTGAAAGGTAGCAAGAGCGTATGTGGCCGGAGCAGGACGTCCCGTAAATACGCAGCGTGGAGGACGAGACACGGAGCGAAAGGACAAGTCGATGGGTGGAACGCGTCGAGTAGCATAGCACATCGTTCGGCGAAAGCGAAGGAAACAAAAGAAAAAGAAAAAACCCAATCAGTCCCTCGCCCAAAATACACCAAAAAAAAAAACCACGCACAGTACAATTGCGCACTACTTTGAATGCCATTCCCGCCTCCACCCCCGCCACTACTATTATCACCGGTCCCGTTGCCGGGGAGTGCGGTTGCGGTGACGCCGGGGTCGGTGGAGGTGGATCCGGTTTGGGGGAAGCTGCTGAACGAGGGGATGGATTGCGACGAGGAGGTGCTGGACGCGGAGGTGGGTGCAGAGGAGGAGCGGGACGAGCGTGAGGTGGTGGAGCTGGCCATTGTGTCGTGAGGTTGGTGTCGTCACTTGTTGTCGTCGTGTGCACTCGAGTACGAAAACCAGAACCAGAACGCGGCTAGGGTAGCGTCGGTGGCGGCCTAGCGCAGAGTGCAGAGCAGAAAGCACAAAGGCAACGACCGCAAAAAGATGCTTGTTCGAATGAACAAAAGACAGCGGGTGTCGTCAAGCCCTTGTGTTGTTCTTCCTATTCTTGTCCTTGCCCTTTGTGTTGCCGCAGATGCGTGCGTCGTCGTCGGTGGCAGCGACAACGCTGAAGAGGCGGATGCGGAGTGGGTGGGTAAACAAAGTAAGCGAACGATGACAAGTGACGCTATTCGGCGATCGGCGTTACCGCTTTGGGATGTTTGTTCAATTTTGGATGGCAGCGCCTCTGAGCGCGACATCCAGTCGCGGTCCAGTCGCGGTCCAAGGTTTTGGGTTGCTTCCAGGTGACTGAACGATGGTATTCTCTGGACGTCATCCATTTTTTTTTCTGTATGTTTCAAGTTTGGGTGTAGCTTCGGGGAAAACGTTGGTTGAACTTGCTTTCAACTTGCTTCACAGGATACTCAAACCTCCCGCACATCTTCCATCCATTCAACACCCATCCATCCATCCATCTCTGTGCCCACAAGATGGATGCGCTCGGGCATCACGGGTTTCAACTCAAACTATAAATACGGCACCCTTCTCGCGGCTTATGCGCAAATTCCGTGATTGAACACTACTGTATTCACACCCACCAACCCATGCCCGAACCCTACCGCAAAAGCAGTATGGTGTAACGTCTGCACATAGGAGTCTATTAACTGATGGGTAGGGTTGAATTACATAATCCTGGGGTCCTTGTTCGAATCAAGGTACTGCTTGCCTGCTCGTTCAGCAATTTTTTGTCCTTTGCACGACTACTCAATTTTCTTGCATATATTTGAGACTGGAGTAAGGCAAGAAAAGCAGTATGGTGTAATACCGCACACAGGAGTCTATTAACTGATGGGCAGGGTTGAATTAATCCTGAGGTCCTTGTTCGAACCAAGGTACTGCTCTCCAGCGACTCCACTCCAAACCCTTTTTCCTCGGCAAGCCTCAATTTCTTGCATACATTAATGAGGCTTGAGTAGGAGGAGTAAAGCAGTATGGTGTAATGCTGCCCACGGGGCTCCTTTATAGCTGCGTTCGATGAGATTAAATCCCGAGGGCCTTGTTCGGATCAAGGTGCTGCTGTGGCATTCTACATTTCTACTCCAAACCTTTTTTCTCAGCAGCTCGACTCAATTTCTTGTAGGCTCATGAGCCCTGGAATAAGGGAAGGAAAGCAGTATGGTGTAATGCCGCACACGGGATTCCACTTGGTGCTGAGAACGGTTAATCCCGAGGTCCTTGTTCGAATCAAGGTACTGCTCTAGAACCCACTCTCTGCCCTTTTTTTGTCCCTTACAAGCACTGTAAGTTTCTTGCGGTTTTATGAGCCCTGGAATAAGGCAGGGAGGGCAGTATGGTGTAAATCTGCACGCAGGGCCCACTTGCAATCTGTGTCAGGATGCGATGCTGCCCTGAGGTCCTTGTTTGAATCAAGGTACTGCTCTGCTGCCCTCCACCGCATCCTTTTATTTCTTGTGGGACACCACCAATTTTGCAGAGGTTTGCGAGGGAGTAAGGAGGGAAGGAAAGCAGTATGGTGTAAGACTGCACACAGGGCTCCATTACATCTGTTCCAATGATAACCCAGAAGTCTTTGTTCGAACCAAGGTACTGCTCTCAGTCTGATCTCGCACCTCTTTTTACCGCGACTGGACTCAATTTTTTGTAGGTTTATGAGCCCTGGAACAAGAGAAGGAAAGCAGTATGGTGTAATTCTACACACGGGGCTCCCTTATCTTGTTTGATCAGGTCAAATCCCGAGGTCCTTGTTCGAATCAAGGTGCTGCTATACTGCTCCTCCCAGAGTGTGTTTTTTCCTTGGCAAGGTCACTCAATTTCTTGTGGTTTGCTAAGCCTTAGAATGAGGCAAGGAAAGCAGTATGGTGTAAGGCTGCACACGGGATTCCACTAGGCGGACTCCGACACCGTTAATCCCGAGGCCCTTGTTCGAGTCGAGGTACTGCTCTTCTGTTGCTTGCCCAATTCTTTTCCTCTGCAAAGCTACTCAATTTCCTGTGGGTTTATAAGCCCTGGAACAAGGGAAGAAAAAACAGTATGGTGTAAGGCTGCACACAGGGCCCGCTTGCAATGTTTGCTGTGATGCTGCCCTGAGGTCCTTGTTTGCATCAAGGTACTGCTCTCAGTCTGATCTCGCACCTCTTTTTACCTTCCAACTGGACTCAATTTTCTGTAGGTCCATGAGCCTTGGAACAAGAAAAAGAAGCAGTATGGTGTAACTCTGCACACAGGATGCTACTGAGCTGTGTGTGTGTATCCTTGTTCGAATCAAGGTACTGCTCTGCCTGCTTTACATATCTCTTCCACTATTTTTCTGTTGACCTACAGCGGTACTCTTCCTTAGTACCAAACCAGGTGAAACTGTCTACACATGACAGCGGAGCTATTCTGGTCCCGAGTGGGATGTCAATCTTGTGTCATGTGGGACTACACGGATGCACTCTTTTTATTTTTATTTTTTGGGAACTTCACCATCCTGAATGCTGAACAAATTGATTATCCTAACAATTTTTATGTGTGGAAGTCAATGGGTGCAATTTCAGGAGCTTTAAGTTTTCACACATTTTTCTGAAATTTACAATGACAAAAATCTCCTTGCTTCTCTGACATTCATCGTGTGAAAGTGCAGGCTGTTCTCCACGAGGCGCTCAGGGTGACCACTCTTGTCTCCCACCTCCAGGTCCACCGCGAAGGAATACATCCTCCTCACCCAGTCTGTGGGTGGCTCTTTCTGCTATCTAATCTTCCCTTTGGCTCACATGGGGTTATGGTGTTCCACCTACAGAAAATCGGTGATATAACAATCCATTTTGACCATGTATAGCCAGGGCAATGAAGTCAAGACCTTTGGTGCCAGAGTCTCTATTAGTGGTGCGTAGGAAACTTAACTAGGATGTCACCATCATGATATCTTGTCCTCAGGGGGCCACGGCGGCTCGGGTGGAGGGGCCTACGGCATTGGTGGCAAGGGGGGTAAAGGAGAGGGTCCCCAAGTGACAATGTATGTTGGTTAAGTGCCCCCATTCCTTTTCCCAAAGTCCTTTCTCAACAATGGCAGTGTGAACCAGGGTCAAGGGTTAATCAAATTTTTGAGGACAATATTTGAAGCTAACTTCTGTCCAGACTCGAAGAAGTTCTGTACAAGTGGTTGGAATCTCCTCCTACTACAAAGGACAGACAGCACGAACTGCAGAAACTTCGTCATGAAGTCACTGGGAGCTGGTTCCTAGGTAATAACCAATTCATCAAATGGAAGACCACAGCCAGCTCTTTATGGATCAAAGGCATCTGTGAGTCAATTTCATTGTGTTCCAATCTCAGGTTTAATCATTCATTGCAGCTGGTACTGGAAAGAGTGTACTAAGGTGATTTGTATTGCTACTACATAATATTAATCTGCCACTGACCATTGCAACAGCTCAACAGTGATTGAAAATATCATTGTGGGCTGTCCAGACCAGACCGCAGTTGCATATTTCTATTTTGATTTTCGGAATGAGAGGCAGCACATGGACCTCATGTTACGTTCTATTGTCTGGCAGCTCTCTGGACGGTCACCTTCACCCTATGGCTCTCTTCATCAGCTATACAAAACACTGGGAAATGGAACTATACAGCCACAGCATTTACATCTTCAAGGACTGCTCAAGAATTTACTTTCAGAGTTGGACCAGACATATATTGTCATTGATGGGCTTGATGAATGCAATAAAACCGACCGGAAGCCTCTTATTGAGTTCATTCTCAGCCTATGCCATCCCGCCAAAAATTTACCACATCTCCTGTTTACTAGTCAACCTCTTGAGGAATTCCAAACAGCATTCAAGGATGCAATATTCATGGAGCTTGGTTCCTGGGTCTCAAATGATGACATTAGGTCCTTTGTTGGCAGTGAAGTTGCCAGGCTTGGAAATTGGGCTAGTGATGACAATTATGCAAAGAATGTCACAGAGCAAATTGTGCAGAAGAGCCATGGAATGTTAGTCCTCTCATTGTGTTGTAATTTGTGTTTAAGCTAACTTGCATATCCAGGTTTCGCATGGCTGCATGTCTCCTCATTGAACTGCGTGATTGTGATTTCAGAGAGGATGTGGAGGAGACCCTCACAGGCCTTCCAGCTGATCTGTTTGGGATTTACAGCCATTTCCTGACCCGGGCAACAAATATTCCCAGAAGAACAGCTTTTATCCAAGCAATCTTCCGGTGGCTTGTGTTCTCTGCCAGAAAACTTACATCAGATGAGCTGGCAGATGCTCTCGCATTCCCCTTAGCTGGTCCCCAGTTCGACTTTTCTGACCCGGCTAAATCCATTTATGACCCGAGTAGACGTGGGGGCAACTCTGATATCTTCAAGCTGTTGGAGGGGCTGATTGTAATCAAAAACAATGACTGGCATGAGTTGTCAAACAGTGACTGGGATGAACAGTCAATCAATAACGGGGATGAACTGTTAATTACTCTTGCACATTCCTCTGTTAAGGATTATGTCCTTTCCCCACAATTCCGAGGGGAATTTGGTGCAATCATTGATCTTACAATGGACATCTCCCATAAATTTATCACCCAGACTTGTGTCCGCTATCTGCTCCTTTTTGCAGACCCCAAACATTCAATGACTGAAGAGACACTCCCACACTACCCGATCTCATTGTATGCAGCAGAATATTGGTTCTACCATCTAGAGCATTGCAATGAACAGGGCCAGAGGGCACTACTTCCATTGACCATGTATCTCCTAAAGGATGGAAGCAGCCAGCAAGCGGTTTGGTACCAATTGCGTCCCTTGCGTTATTATGAGGCCCGTGCTTGGGATGAAAAAATACCACCAGCAGTGTGTATATGTGCTGAAATTGGTTACACAAAGGGAGTACACTCTCTGCTTGTTGAACACAATACATCTCTCGACTTAGTCAACAGATATGGGCAGACTGCACTGCATCTTGCATTGAGAAATAGTCACCTCGACATCGTCAGGTTACTCATTGAACACAATGCACCAGTCGACTTAGCTGACAGGGATGGCCGGACTGCACTGCATCTTACATTGACCCGTGGTCACCTCGACATCGCAAGGCTACTCATCGAACACAATGCACCTGTTCACTTAGCCAACAAATATGGGGAGACTGTACTGCATCTTGCATTGACCCATGGTCACCTCAGTATTGCGAGGCTGCTCATTGAACACAGCGCACCTGTCGACTTTGCCGATGAAGATGGTGAGACTGCACTGCATCTTGCATCGAGGAATGGTCAACTTGACATTGCGAGGCTGCTCATCGAACACAGCACACCTGTCGACTTAGCCCGCAAATATGGCGAGACTGCGCTGCATCTTGCATCAATCCATGGTCACCTCGACATTGCAAGGCTGCTCATCGAACACAATGCACCTGTTGACTTAGCCGACAAAGATGGCCAGACTGCACTGCATCTTGCATCGACCCATGGTCACCTTGAGATTGTGAGGCTGCTCATCGAACACAACGCACCTGTTGACTTGGCTGACGAAGATGGCTGGACTGCACTGCATTTTGCATCGAGGAATGGTCACCTCAACATCGTGAGGCTGCTCATCCAACACAATGTACCTGTTCATTTGGTCAACAAATATGGGGAGACTGTACTGCATCTTGCATTGACCCATGGTCACCTCAGTATTACAAGGCTGCTCATTGAACACAGCACACCTGTCGACTTAGCCAATGAAGATGGCGAGACTGCACTGCATCTTGCATCGAGGAATGGTCACCTCGACATCGCAAGGCTGCTCATCGAACACAATGCACCTGTTGAGTTAGCTGACAAAGATGGCCAGACTGCACTGCATCTTGCATTGACCCATGGTTGCCTCGACATTGCGAGGCTGCTCATCAAACACAACGCACCTGTTGACTTAGTCGATGAAGATGGCTGGACTGCACTGCATCTTGCATCGAGCAGTGGTCACCTTGACATTGCGAGGCTGCTCATTAATCACAAAGCACCTGTTGACTTAGTCGATGAAGATGGTCAGACTGTGCTGCATCTTGCATCGAGCAGTGGTCATCTTGACATCACAAGGCTGCTCATCGACCACAACACACCTGTTGACTTAGCCAACAAATATGGGGAGACTGCACTGCATCTTGCATCGCGCAATGGTCAACTCGACATTGCAAGGCTGCTCATCAAACACAATGCACCTGTTGACTTAGTCAATGAAGATGGTGAAACTGCGCTGCATCTCGCATCGAGCAATCGTCACTCTGACATTGAGGGGTTGCTCATCGAACACGGTGCAAGCACAACCCTAAGGAGGACAGTGCGTGACCACTAGATGATACCATGGGCTCAGTCTCCTAATGAACACTTCTTGATAGAACTAGAACTTGGATATGTGACTGTCTTTAGACGCAGGAAGTACACAGCAACGTGAATTTCTGTGTCCTGAAAGCATGAACATGAGCACCAAGAATTGTCTTCGCAATAATTGCAAGTAAGATTAGTGAGGACAAAAGATTGTGATATGAGAAAAAGAAATGTTGTGTTCACACTTGAGTTATAATCGGATAATCCCTCACACAAGTGATGTTCTTTGGCTCCTACTCGGATTTTTTATGCACAGAACTCAAACAACTTACATTTGTGGTCAGCCAAACAATACTAATCTACGAAATACTATGGTATTCAATAGAGACAGCCACATGAAACTTACAGGTGCCTGTTCGAAAGCCGTTGGCTTCTTGGGTGGGTGCAAACACCTACTGCGTGAAATCTCCCGGGAATCCC